CCGAGGGAGCGCGCCCGGGCACTGCTTCAGGAGGGTCACCCTCACCAAGCCCACCTTCTGCCACTATTGCACCGACTTCATCTGGGGATTGGCGGGGTACCTCTGCGAAGGTAACGCTGTGGGGCAGAAAGTGCTTGTGGCGGGCGCGTGACGAGGGGACGGTCGGTCTCGCGACTCCCGGGAGTGCGTGTCATTCTTCCCCCCAAACCCCCCGACCTCGAACTAGTGGAAGCTTGCCCTCCCTGTAGAGATGCCACCACTCCGTCTCATATTTGGCAAGCCGCCTGCTTTTAAGAGTTGCCTTAGGCAGGTCCCCCTTAGCTGGGCAATGTCTTTAGGACCATATAAATTGGCCCATTTCTCCTCGTGGGGCAACCTGGAATGCAAGCCATCTCGCTGGTGAAGAGGTCTGGAGGACTTGAAAACCCTGCAGTTTATTTTATGGGATTTTGGTTTGTCTTGCTAATGGTGTTATCTAGTTATGGGTGTTGTATCTTTCCCCCCTCCCTCCGCACCCCATTTTTTTGAGGTTCTCTTATGCTGAGAAACATCCAGCAGCTGATCTACTTGTACCAAGTACAGCTTTCTGTCTAAGAAGTGCAAAGCGTTTCTTTTTAAAATTTGCCCATTTTTGTTTGTTTGGGGTTTTTTGGGGGGGGGTATCCTTTAGCTTTAATGGTTGCCTGGCACACAGACAGACAGTCATTAGAAAAACTTTTTCTATCACTTCATCTTTGGGCATGGAAAAGCTTTCTCCATTAGAATAGCAAATGCAAATGACTTCCTCTTGTTTATCTGCCAAAATAGGATTTTCTTTTCTTAAATGGCTCTGTGGCTTGGACAGGTTGTTAGCAGATAAAAAAAACCCTTCACCTCTCTTAGAAATAGGAAAAGCTTCATGAGTTGTAATTGATGTAGATGCCAGGGCAATGCTGACAATGTCCTCCTCCTGATAAACTTTCTGTGTCTTAACAGTGGCTTGTCTGAAAGACTGACATTTATCAGGTGAGGCTTTTCTTATCCCTTCATTTTCATCCTGGGGGAAATACTCCCCCCCCCCTTTGTATCACAGATATAACAGACTTTCTTTCATGATATTGCTGATATTTGCCTTCTGAGGAACTGTCATGTACGTAGATACACAGAAGGTGAAGTTTTTCTTCTTGTTTCTTCTTGGTTTGCAGGCACAAACATTTTTTTTCCTGATTTTTATCCATTGCTCAGCACCAAAGACTTCTTGAAAAAAGGCAAGGTTATACCATGAGGACTTGACAATGGATTTGAAGAGCCCACTGGGGATATTGTGCCAATTGTAGACTAGATATAGACTAGACAACTTGACACAGAAGGAAGGTTAACTCCCTTCTTTCCCATATATTTGAGGATCAACCAAATATGGAATGAAGGACAGTTTTAAAGCCAGATTTGTACCTTATCCATCATTTCAGAGGAAGTAGCAGCTATTTACAGAGGTTTGATATCTTAAAATCTGCTGTCGTCTATAGTTAGATATACATGATCAGGCCTGTAACTGGGCAATTGTTATGACTAATGTCTTTTTAGCTACCCCTGGAATGTTATTAATGGAAGCACAGTATGGAGACATTCTTTTTTTTTTTTAATTGGGAATTGGAGAAGCAGTTAAAATGAATATATACCTTGTTACATTGTGTGCGTGCATGCATGCATACTGAAACCTTGTATATATGATTATACTGTTTGGGAACTAGCAGTTGTCAGTCTTGTTCTTGGTCACTTGCACATAGATCAGTAGCTCTATAGTGAGAATGAGATTTATTCTTTGATACCTCTAGTTATTGTTGCCTTTCATAGTGAAAATGCTTGGTATCCTTGTGTAATCCCGTTTAGTAACCACAGTTTTATTTGGGGTTGCATTTACACTTCCTCTGTTTGGTACTTTTAATTCTTGGAGGCTGGTAGGTCATTAATTCAAAGAAGATGGTTCATTCAAGAAGAAGAGAAAGAAGACTGTTCATGCCAAAGCCTCTTATGACATGCCAACCATATCCCCTGCTTCATTGGTATGCTTTCAGTGCATGTGCAGTGAGGTCTTAAGTTCCATCTAATGTATGTTCATGGGGCTGCTCTTTGTGTGTGGGGATTCTGGGCCAGTAGATGCCTTTGCGACTTTGACTTGGAATTCTACAAATGCCAGAGATGAAGAACAATTCTTATACATAAAGACATGGAAGGCTCAATCAAATGATAGGAGAGAAACTTACACCAGTTGTGTGGTGTCTGTGAATGGGTTAGTAAATTTAGAGTAAGACAGTGCTACTGTGCTTTGCAGATGCTAACTATATCCAACCAGGTGCTGTCTAAATATTCCAGAAATTGTAGGGTATGCAGTGTGGGAATGTGTGCTCTGGTTTGGGAAATGCTGTTGACCTGAGTGTGTGGTCATGTCCACAATAATGAACTGCATTGGCTGTGATATATCAGTTGTTTATCTTAAATTTCTCCCACAAACCAATGTTTATTTTGGGGACAAATTGTACAGATGTATTCTGAAGATGTATTTAATTTTTCTGTTCTGAAGATGTATTTGCTTTTTTCTGATGGTTTTTACGGAGGCATATTTTTACTCCTGTCTGAAGCATTCTCTCTGAAATAAAGTTTTGGTGTCTTTATTTCAGGTTACATTGCTTGTGTTTACCTGGCTGTTGGTGCACCCTTGGGGTCTACTCAGATGATACTTGGGTAGTTGATGTTAGTGGAAGGGGATCCTCCTAATTCATTTGATGCATTCTCCCTAAAGTAAGGGAAGCATGAGGACACCACGGGATAATGTGTTGATCTTGACTTTACTTCTCTTGTGCTTTGTCATGTAATTCTGAAGGGAAGTTATTTTACTGGCTCATGGAGCCTATCTGAACTTTGAGGCTGTGCATTTGCAGTGCTGCTTCCTTCCCCTATTTTTATGGCTCTTCAAGGAAGCAGCTGTTTGTTCTCTGTGCGTATATATTAGAATTGAACCTTCTTGATGTGCCATATTGATATGTTGTAACTAGCTATGACATAGACATTTTAAGATTAACTTGAACAGGAAGGTCACATCAAGAAGGACAATTCACTGTATCTGAAGTCCTGGCATTGTGATTAAGCATTGCTCATAACCCTGCTGCGTAAAAACCCAAGAGGGTGTGTAAGCCAGGTAAGGAAGTAGGGAATGTGAGTAATTTGCAGTATAGCTAGATGTAGTTGAGCAATAACATGGAGCGTGCATGAATGGAGGAGTAATTCTCTTGCATCAGCTTTTGAAGAAGCTTGAAGCAAGCATCCAAATGACCATTGTTTCTTTACTTCTTGTTGTATAACAGAAAGAACTAAGAACTCATTTAAATGTGTAAGAAACAGAAAATAGCATAAATATTTTTTATAAATAATAGAGGAATATATTAATCGCAGAGAGGGAGGTCCAGCTAAATGCAAGCAATAGCCCAAGAGGACACTAATACTTATATCATTAAAATAATGTATTTAGTACTTTGCTTTCTTATTCTCTGTTCTTTAGCTGGTAATTACTGAAATGCTGTGCCATGAAATTAGCCAAGAAATATCAGTATTGATATGTTCTATATCAATGTATTGATTTGTGCTATATGATTGAGGGACCTAGGCTGCATTTTTAAATTCCTTTTATTTAGCTTGGTACTGTTTTGACTTGGAGTAAATTTAAAAAAGGGGACCATACCGTTTCTTGTAGAATATTATAATAAAATATTCTGAACAATTTCCTCACAACCAGAGATGCTCTATTTAAGTCATCATAACTGTTTATCTGCTTACATAATTTTAGTGATTATTCTCTGGAAACTTTCTAACCTAGGTTAGAAAATATCACTATCACCCCCACTATCTTTTAAAAAATAGGATATTTTTTAATAGGATATAGAATATTCCGAAACAAATAGGGAGACAGTAATTCAGCCTTCTTGGTGATACTCTTCTTTCTCATTACCAGGTCAGTGTCATCTGTTCTAGATGTGACCTCCAATGTTCTCCATATGTTAAGCATGTCATATGTTGACATGAAATGTTTTCTCTTTTTATGTGTAAAATTCATCCCCTCCTTATTGTCTTCTTTAATTAAGATGTAATATTAGTGTTTGAGTTGGTGGTAACTATATTC